TAGCTACTGACGAAATTCGAATCCACGCCGTCATGCAAGGGTGTCACTCCTCTCCATCACTATGGTAGAGGGCCACCTGCCACTCTTCTTATTATAACCTAATGCTTTTGTCTGTTTGATGATTTTAGGGCTGCTTATTGAAAGACTAAAAGCGATTTTAAGTGAGGTTAACGAAAGGAGTTAGAAGTATTTACGAGTTATAAAAGTATTTTCTAAATAATTATTTTTAGGAAGCGTTTTTAAGTGTTGAAAATTTATTCAGTGACACACCCCAACTGACAGAGGTTAAAGCATGCTGGCCATCACCGTGAGGTGACGTAACCATAAGGATAAGTGATGTGAAAAAGTGAATAAATTAAAACTACACTATAACTAATTTAAATTAAACAATGAAAGAGTGCGCAGTCATGGGAAAACCCACTACAATTATTCAGAGCATAATAGACAGTACGATTGCAATAAAGTAGTCAAAGTAGTTAGTACACTTATTACACAACAGTGGATAAGTTCATACTTCTAAACAAAGATAATGTCAAAACTGCCAAAGGTTCCTCGAATGCCACAGAGAGTACAACTATCTAGGTCCTGGAAGGGTAAAAAACAAAGTTGAGTGGGTCAGCAAAACAATGTTTGTAAGAAAAACCTTTATTTTCAAACATAGTAACCCTTGCTATAAAACAAGTATAGTTTCCTTAAAACATACTACATAAATGTAAACAACAGTACAATAGCAATATAACCAGAATTATGCCAAGTCATGATATATCAAATGTCATAGTAATATAATCATGTGATAATCAAGTATAACTAAGTGCTCATCCATCTAATCCAACACACGAGTTCGTACAGATAATCCTGACACGAATATGACTTGATGTAATCAATACGCTGTAGTACTACGATCACGTGAAGGCTGGTGTAGAAGCACGGTCACATACGAGTTCGGATTGCCTAATGTAATCTGTACGACAGGACTGACACCTAACTTGGATCCAAGGCGAGCGAATGGTGCAGATGTGAACATACACGTGAAGGATTGGCCTTGGTCCTGGGGCGAGTACTAACACCACGGTGCAGTAAAATGAGCATATACAAATATGTATGAATGTCATGACAGTAATATCACAACTATATAGCAGCATTTATCACAATTAATAGCACAATAACAATACTTGGCAATATAAGCGTAAACTTGAAGTAAATACACATTTATGGAAACTATAACTATGTATAGGTATAAAATTTTGGATGCCTTCACGCGCCGGCTAAGGCACGGCCACACACGCTAGCCACGCGCAGGCAGAGCTGACAGAGGCCTAATGGTCGTTAGGAATATTTCGTTAAAGCCTTAACAAAAGTTAGCGGCGTTACCTGACACCATTAGAATATTATGTCAAGGTTGACGGAATATTCAATTGTCTTCTCTAGTGGTCCTAGCATGTTGCCGCTGTCATCTAAACTCGCCAAAAACTGAAAAATTTCATCGATTTCTGGGAAAATTTCAAACTTTCATATCTTCTTCATTTCTCAACCATTTTTTACAAAATTTATATGGAAATGAAGTTTATGAATAATAGAATCACCTTATACCTTTTTGGAGTCCAAAAAATGGACGAAGGTGTCCTGAAAAAGCCTCGAAAGGTACGGCTAAAACTAGAACTTCTTGAAACCTTGTATTTCGAGGTTGTCTCTTCACCAAACCTTCATTAAAGACCTCGGGGAGTAATAAGAAAGCTTCCCGACCTTCAAAACTCCTTGACTCAGCATGAAAACGTTGAACCCAAACTCATTGAGTTCGAACCTTCCGAGTTCGACTGTCCAAAACTCAGTCAACTTGTGATCCAGTGGTATGGTTGTGTTTGTGGAGTTGAGATGAACACAATGGTGTGGTTTTTGGGCTCGGTCTACTGAGCTTTAGTGCTTGTTCATGGCGATTACAGAAAATGAGAGACTTCGGGAGGGAGAAAGAGAAGAAGAGAGAGAGATAGTTCTTTTTCTCTTTTTCTAATTGGGTGCAAGGAAGTGGGAAGATATGTGATTGGTGAGAGTGAAAATGAGAAAGTTTGATTGGTGAGTGACAAAGGAAGGCACGGGTTGGGTTAAAAAAGAAACTAGGGATAGAGTTTTTTAGATTTCCTACAGTAAAAGGAATTAGAAAATCTATCCAGCACTAGTGTTTCGAACATTGATAATTTAATACACACGCGTGTACAAATCTACCCATTATCCTCGTACTTTGACAGAGCGTAACTTTAATGTTACAAGTCCGATTTGAGTCTAACATACGCCCATGCGTTCGTAGTGATGAGTACAATTTAATTACGATAGCAAGAAAAATAATTTAAGAACAAATAAACATATCCACATGCCAACAAGGGCATAAATGTCAATTCACATACTCAGGGAGAAATTACACAGAAAATTAGGGACGGGTCGTCACATTCAGCCCTTACATAACGGTGTGAGTTTGAACTCCATCAATGGCTAATCTAACATCTAATCTAACCAAATCTATCGTTTGACTAAAAAAAAAAAAAAAAATAAATAGGAAGCTCTTTTAAGTACTTTTATTTATTTATTAAGGACTGGCTTAAATTTTAAGTAAACATTTCAACGCGTTTCTAATAAAAACACTGTCAGCATAAGCGCTTATAAACATAAGTGTTTCGTGAATAAACAATCCCAAAAAACATTTCAGATTTGCTTTCACAAAATTTGTATGGTTAAAGAAATATAAAGAGCAACTTTTAGTTAGAATACCCAAAAGCCCCAATAACACAAGTATGTTTTAGCGAAAGGTGCAGTGTGTGGATGAAGCTTGACAAACCCCCAGATATAAAATAGGTATTTTAGCCAAAATTATTCATGAGGTTGTCAATAATTTTTCACTTTGATCCTCGATATTTAAAATTGATAAAAATGATCCCTGAAATTGTCCGCTGTAAATCATTTTGGTCATGCTGTGAAAAATCTTTGTTAAATTGAAGAAACCACCATTTCAAGGGGAGAGGTTGATTTGATAAAAATACCCTCAATTTAACGATGATTTCTCACAGAGGGGGCCAAAATGATTGACGGTGGACAATCTTAATGATCACTTCTATCAATTTTAAATATTAGAGACCAAAGTGAAGAGTTATGCCAATCTCAAAAACTATTTTGGATAATAAGCCTATAAAATATTAAGTCGATAAAAACATATATTTGCAATCTAAGAAGGATGTAGTCCTAAACAGAAATCCTGTTTTATGTTGAGACGAGTGAATTGTATGACATGTTCGTGTGTGGATACCAGAACAAATATGTACATAATTAAAAGCTTAGATTAAGAATCTGATAACATAACATATCAAATTATCTGACAAGAAATTATCGTCTAATATGTGCGCATATTACTCAACGCACTTTGTACGGCTGCACATTTCTTCTTCTCAATACTCAATAGATTCCTATGCATGTTACACAACACACTTTTTTTGTGACGAACAGTGAGTAAATGCTTGAACTCTCATAAATTAGATTTTGGCATACATAATACATGAACTCTCAATGATGATCTTGATCTACAAATGTCCTGCATCATCCAAGCATAAAAATGTAACATGTAAATTGTAATTCTCTATTAGTGTGAAGCACCAAATAATTGTCAACTTGAGTTGAGCTGAGTTGAGGGAGCCACATATGTTCATACGTATATATTTTATTTGAATAGTAGATTTTAGGGTTTGGTTTTACTACTGTTCAACCTATACATTATTGGCACAAATAGTTTTGCCATAGATATTTTGTGTCTCTTGAGAGACACTCGTCATTTAATATCGTTGTCTAGTGGTATTCTCTTTATTTGTAAGTAAGAGATTTACGTTTGAATCTTGTGAACGGTGAATTCAATATCAATTTTTTCTCGGATATAATAACATAGGCAGAAGTATTGACATTGTTTTCATATTTATGCAGAGGTCTATTTTTGTTTTTCCTTTTCTTAGAGATGCAACATCCTTACCCTTTTTCTAGGGTTTCTTCTTTTTTCTTGATTAATTCTTCTGTTTGGTTGGGGTGTGAGATTGAAAATGTGGGATTCGGATTCCATCCGGATCCAAATTGTGGGGATCCTATAGATTCTCACATCTTAGCCATTTATTGTGCATCGTGCGGTTAGAAATCATTTAATTTTTTTATTTAAAATTAAACACAAATAGTACCTGATGAAAACTAGCTGTACGATATACGATGAATGACTATAATACTGAGAATCCCCCAAAGTGAATCCGAAGAGGTTCCTTCTCTGAAAATGTGACCACCAGTCAGCCACCTCTTGTCAGTTGTCCCTATCGCAATTGCAAAAGAGATGGAATCCTATCATTTTACAATGAAGGTGGAAAAGGAGTTGGGAACCAGTGAAAATGCAAACGAAGATGACACTACTAGAAAATATAATTTTGCCAACAAATATAAAGCCGACAAAACAAATTTTTGTCGACACAAAAGTTTTTCCCCAACGAAAATTAATTTGTAGGCTCCAAACTTTTAGACCTACGCCGACCAAAATTTTGTTGGCAGAGAACATTCAAGCCGACGAATAAACTAAAGGTCGGCGAAAACATGCCGGTTCGTCGTCAAGAGAGGGGCGCAAATTATTAATTCCTTCCCGCCCCTTTATTTTTTGTCTTTTCGATTCCACCGCTTAATTTTTTCGTCAAAAGAATTTTCCCCTTAAATCTAGATACAATGTTTGACAAACCCTATTATTTGTGGATAACCGTCCCCTCTTCTATCTCTCACAAGGCGCCGCTCTTCGCTTTCCGTCGACTTTGTTTTTTTTCTTGCCGTCGCCGTGGCTTCATCTACTCTCCGTTGCTGCTGCCGTTGCCGTCGAAGGGCCCCTACTATTCTAGCTTTGAAATCTCCAATACAGAGTGTTTCTCTGCATTTCGTTTCTCTTAAACGTTAGGGTAATGTTTTCAACCCTATCTATTCTAATTTTTTTCCCCTCAGCTCTTGGTACTTGTGAGATTGTCATTTTCTGTATATTTTACTATTTCTGTATAATAAACAGTTTTTTATTTTATTTAATTCCAAGCTTGACATTGAAACTGAATTAGAAAGAAAAATGGTCCCAAAATGTTAAGAGCAATGAAATTGCGTTGATGGGGGTGGTGTGAGTAATGGCAACCATATACTTGATAACAGCTTCTTACATTTACAAGTGCCTTGTGATGGTGAATTCTTAATTTAAAGTATGTTGTAGTTTGTGTTGGCCATTTGATTTAAAACTAGGAATGCTCATTTTCTGGTTTCTGAATTCTTAACCAATTTGAGCAGGATGTAATGTTATACCTATTCAAAAGTGAACAAGGGTAAGGTTGTGATTTGATTATCAATTTAAAAAATGTAGCTTAGTATTGTTTTGGCATTTTGGTGAAATGGGTTTGTTTGTACCCAACTGCAAGCCTTTTGTTTGCGCATGATTTAATAGTTGACTGAGTATCCATGCTTATACATACTTTAATCAGTTTTTTTGCAACATGTGTTCATGTGGCTGAAATTCTATGATTAGTTTTCTTCCTTGAAATTTTTATTAGTTTAATTCTATTCGAATATGAATTATTTCTTTATGCAAAATAGATACCTTTTGGTTTGTTGGTGAGGCATTATTTACTAAAGGTGGTTTTATAGGAACTGCTTATGAAGAGAATGAAGTGGCAAATTTTTCATACAATTGTCAATACTAAAGTTGCAGAATGAATCTAAGGATGCAAGTTTCCTTACAAACTTGGTTAGATTTGAAAGTGTTTCTTTGAAAGTTTGCAAGTTTTATTTCTCTTCATTGACAAAAATTCATAGATTGGCAGCTTGTGACATACTAACTTGTAGTAGTAGAGGGAAAGGCCTGTTACCATGGACAAAGAATGCGTTCACCAGTCAAGGTTAATTTCAAATCCCTGAACCCTTAAATGCTATTGTACAATTGTATGTGTTGGTTTGGAGCATGTTGTAACAACTACTACTTTGTGCCGAAAGTCTTTATTCACCATGTAGTCATTCAATAAATTTATCTTTATTTAACTTCTTCACAAATAGCTAAGCCATATACATTTTGAATTTTAAATAGAGTGGATGGTTCACATTCAGGATTGTCAATGTGAGCTACAGCTGCATGAAAGGATTTACAAGGTTTTGGTGGAATAAGTGAAGATTCATCTGGGTAATTGATGACTAGTAACTTGAAATGATCTTCAAATCATACACATAAGAGATATTATTAGTTGTAGACAGTACTTTTCTTAGCATATTGGCAATGTGTTTGTTGGCTAGGAAGTTGTGTCATATGTGATATAGGTATTAATCTTCCCTGTTGGGTATTTTGTTACAGGTTCTTTGCTCTCAAGTATGCTGCAGGTGCAAGATGGTTGTGATTGTGCAGGTGCTGGTGCTAGATGGTTGTGATTATGCAGGGGCAAGATGCAAGATGTGTTGTGATGCTACATGGCAACCAATTTTGAGGAATAACAGTAGGATAATTTTATTATGTGACATGCTTTTGTATAAGTACTCTAGATGTACGATCCAAACTTATCAATCAATAAAGTATTATTTCTTAACAATTTTTGTGTATTGTATTTTGATTTTTGTGTATTGTATTTTGATGCGCATATGTAGTAGCTAAGCATTAAAGCATTTATTTATTTATTTATAAATTAATTGTCTTCCCGACGAAACTAATTTTGTCAGGAGATAGAAGACTTTGCTGACGAAATATCCATGATGACAAACACATTTTGTTGGTTGAAAAGTATTATTTGTCGGCTTAAAAGGCCTTTATCAATGAAAATATTTGTCGAGGAAGATGTAAATGCCGACAAAAAGGAGTTTGTCGGGAAAAGTTGAACCTTAGCCGGCGAAATACCAAAATTCATCGGGAAAGTTCTTGCATGACATGCTTTGTGTGACAAAATGGCCGGCAAAAATTTTCGTCGGAAAAGACTCTTTGCCGACAAACTAATTTTGTCTGTAAAGCTGAAATTTCTAGTAGTGTGAGTACCTAATAAGGGTTGGTTGAGTTCGTAAAGATCATTCTCTTTACTAGACAAAGGCTTGGGTTCAAGTTTCACTGTCGACAATTTCTCTTGGTGAACGATCTATAAAAACAAAAAAAGAATAAGACCCCTTCTGTAAGTCTTCAAAAAATTAAAAAAAAAAAATATATATATATATAAAGGAGATGGGAACCAGTGAAGGTGCAAAAGAAGATGGGTAACCACCTAACGAGGGTTGATTGAGTTCATAAAGATCATTCTCTTTGCTAGACAAATGTTTTGGTTCGAGTCTCGCTACCAACAATCCATCTCAATGGATGATCAGTAAAAACTCAAAAAGAACTAAAACGCATTGTATAAGTCCTCAAAAAAATTAAAAAAATATACCCTGACTGTGAGATGTATAGCCTCCCCTCCCCTAAACTTTTTAAAACCCAAAAGGAGGTGGGAACCTATTAGAAAAAGTGTGAGATACCATCTCCTATAGTAAGCTTAGCTAGGCGGCCAGTCGTTCCATTCCCATCTCTCTTTCAAACCAAGAAAAAGAGAAAATATAGGTAGGAGGGGAAAAATGGGGTATTAAAGTAGTCAATGACTCGTAGTTTTCCACTATGCAACAGCTGATCTGGCAAAACTCCATCATGAAAGGAACAGAAGGGTGAAAAAGGAGAAGGATTGGGACAAGCACACATGCATGGTCCATGGATGAGTAAATATTGAATCGACTTAAAATTAAAAGGGTTTTCGAACTTTAAACTTTAAACTCGGTTGAACTTGTGCATTGTATTTGAAGGTTTTCCATCTTTTTGATAAGCAAAAAGGCACATCTTTCTTATTGTGGGGAGATATAACTTTTAATACACCTTTTCGTATATACAAATTCGAGAGGGTGCATAATATCACGTTGTGCAGATTTTTCATCATTTGAATGAAGGAAATAAAAGTCATGTCATGTAATTAATAAGAGAAAAACCCTAGAAGGTATTTCTTAGAATTTATAGAGCATATGATTTAGATTAAGTGTTGAATAATGCCTAACAATAAATAAGAAACCACATCCTTAATTTTTCACACCAGCGTTAGTGCATGTGGAGATGTTTTTATTTTGACGTTAAGAGATAGGATAATTGGGAAATTGAGCTCAAGAAATGAATGTTTTTAATCAATTGAGTTACAAGTAGAGGTACCAAATCAACTCATTAGATTGTTAATGAATATTCGTTAAGACTTGTTTAATTTGATATCATCATAATATAAAGGTGAGATCAGTGTAGTGGTGATGATGGTGTAAAGTAAAATCAAACTAAATGAGTCTTAATGTGTACCTATTAACAACCTAATGGATTAATTTGTCACTTCTAGTTACAAGCTTTGAATGGATGCTATTTTAATATAAAGCACCAAAAAGAAAAACAGGTGGTGGAACAGTTCCAACTTCCGAGCTTATATATGAAACAAATTATGTAGAACCTTAGGTTTAGTAGGGGAAAGGTGTCTAGCTAATAATTTTCACCTTACGCGTAGATTTCAGTCATCACATGGTATATAGTAGTTGTTGTAGTCCTATTAGATTAGAAATGTGATTGTGTAAATCCTAATATATCTAGGATATCTCTTATATTCCTATTAGGAGTTGATTACCTATTAAGAGAATATCTCTTATATTCCTATTATGAGTTGATTACCTATTAAGAGTTGTAATCCTAAAAGGTAAGGAATTAACCTTCCCTATTATTATAAATAAAGGCACAATAGGATGAAATAGAACACACCTCACAATTACACATCTCTCTCTTTCTCTCTCTACGCCGCTCCTTCCCTCCCTTTATGGCCTTCATAATTGTTCAGTAAATTATGCCTACAACACATTATCAGCACGCTCTTGACGCTGCACTAAAGAGAGTTTGATTTTCAATCAGGGGAGTATTACGTTTTAATCATCTTTTTATGATTAATTTATTATTTTATTGAATTGATCTATGTGCTATTGATTCAAATTAATTTTTCTTTGTTGAATGTGATACAACGCATTGGAGATGCAATTCCGGCCTTTCGAGAATGACCTTCAACAAATTCAAAGGCTTTTGTTGTTTTCTGCTAATTAGGTATGCTTAAAATAAAGGAAGATATTTGAAATGACCATGAAGTATGAAAACATTCCCCATGATGCATGAACCCCTTACATTTACATTTACCTTCCGATATATATATATATATATATATATATATATATATGTTGTTTATGTTCCATATATTTGTCAATATATATACACGTTTCATGAATTATGCAATTATAATTGCTATGTGGAGTATGTGAGTCAAAGTATATTAATAAATTAGAAGCAAATCTAGGATTTGTAAAACCCTAACAATTTTGAAGGAAAAAAAAAAGGAAAAATTGGACACCACGACACCACCACCATCGGCAGAGTCGCTAGCCTGAAGCCCAACTGACCATCACAGCAACCAAGCCTTGACCTGGGGTCAATCTTGACAGGCTTGAAGCCCCGCGCCTAGCAAAGCTATTCTGGCATGACTATAAGCAAGCTTTTGTGCTTGTTGGGACTTGTTGTTGCCCCGGCCCGCAACCATTCCACTAGCCCAGTTGGTTAGGTCCCTTCCCATAGCATGTGCCTCAGTCAGCTAGCTTATAGGGCTGGGTTTAGTCCTCGCGCGCACAAACCCGTAGGCCAACACTTCGCTAGGCCTGACATGTGCCCCTCATTTGGCCTAAACCAAAAACCCATCTGCAGATGAGGTTTTTCTCGCACCTGTAGGCCTCTAGGCTTGCCCCTGCGTTATGGTCTCGACCCAATCTCACCAGCAGCTTGCTGCTGAGCTCCTGTCATTTGGCTCGTGGCCTAAAGCCACTCCATGAGCTACTATTACAGCCATACCCATGCCTTTTGCTCACGACACCTAGCCTAATTTTTGGGCTATGGTATTTTCGACCCAACACTATTATTTTAGCATTATTTTGCTTCTACGATTGACCTCGTTTGGTCCCAATTTATTGAATTAATTAAAAGTGACCTGCAGTCCATTAATCTGATAATGAATCCAAAATTATTGACCTGAATATCACTTTTGGACATTAACGATTCAATAATTTATTTTTATACTTTGAATCGTTGACATACTTTCGTAGTAACGAAGCTCACACATAAGTTCCCGAGGAAACTTAAATCTACTACCCTTAAATTAGTATATTGCATTCTGTGTTTCTTGCAGGAACCTTTCTTTTATGAATTAAACGTTCATAAACTAAATTGAACTTGTAGTTTCAAATTTAGTGCCTTTGAAACCCGAAGTTTTCATAAAACAATACACCCACACGTTTTTCATGAAAACCATGTCTTAGAACTCAAATGTTTTAACTTTGATGCTTATGGATGATTCATTCTCATAGCACTAATCACAATCTTGTTCCCTCCAATTCAGTGGATTGTCGAACCATCACAAGTTTGATTTCCCTTATTTAGACGTTTCTAATAGAAACCACTTTATGTGGGGTAAAAGACATTACCCGAAGCACACCATGATTACGTCCATGAATGAGTATAATGTTGAAGTTTATAAATTCGATCGAATTTTGACTAGAGAATTTCCTTCCATATTTCTAACTCGCTTTTGAAGCAGCAATGTAGAAAGTGAAAGTTTACCAAATTCTCGAATCTGATTACTACCATAAACGTAAGAAAAAGGGATAGACCCAGTTCGGCTGGAGTCTATCGAATGGCTCAACCTAGTTCGGTCAAAACCTACTGAACGGTGATGCCCTGCTTCGACAGGGATACACCAAAGGGCATGCTCTGCTTCGGCAAAGTTGCATCGTACGGTACTACTCTGCTTCAACAGATGTGCACCGTACGGTACTACTCTGCTTCGGTAGAGACTTACCGAACAGACTTTTCCAGCTTCAGTTAGAACCTACCGAACCCAATTTGGGGTTTGGCCTGCCAAGGTGTGGCATCATGCCCGAAGCATGATCCTTGGCACCTAAAACCTAAAACTTCAAGAATAAGGTATAATATTCCCAAACCTTAACCTTGCAAAATCTACTTCCGTCTTGATGGAATAGATCATTAGTTATGCACCTATTCGTGCTCCTACCAATGTTGTTGAGGAGTACCATTCTAGTAGTCAATATGTGAGATTAATTTTTCTCCACCGAACACCGTTGGAAGAGCAGAATTTTGACATGAATGGCCTTGTTGGCCGAATCCACCCTAGTAATTTTGGTTTTACTCTGTGAACATTTTATTCATGTTCTTGGATTCACATTTGGTGATTGATTTACTTATGGATAATCTTATTGATATTTTCCTCGAATATGAGTTAATTGAATCATGTATCTTAATACATATGACCGATTTAATTAAACACGTGATTATGTAGGATGTGGGGAAGTTAGTTGTCTGGATGCATGCGATACTACACACACTAACTTTACACCTAAATCACATCTCTAACAACGATTTCAGGTCTATCCAACATGATTAAGAGCATTGGCAAGCTCCTTGTTGTATGAATGGTACTGCATTACCATTTAAAGGACCTTAAATTCTCCATGTCGTTGATTTTTTAAGGATATTCGAGATGACAATGGTCATAAATGAAACTACTGAAGAAAATTGAGTGAAATATCTTTGCACCACCTCCAAAAAATGAGTCGGAAGCTTTGATTTGGGGCTAATGGGTTGTCTCCCAACTAGGAACACATCACATGTGGTCGGCCTGGAGCCTGGTGATTGAGCAGTTTACTTGCTTTGGCATGACCTTTTAGGACACTTAGGTCGAATAATGATGCTACGACGCATCTTCTTACCCGAAGTAAATATCTTGTGCCTACAAGCACACTTTGCAAAGCCTGCTCATTAGGGAAATTGATTGTCTATATTATTTCTCGCAAAGATACGAAATCACCATTTTTCATAGTGGATTCAAGGGAATATATGTGGACTAATCCAACCAAAATGCGGACCATATAAATACTTATGGTTTTGGTTGATGAATCGAGAAATTGGTTACATGTTTTTCCACACACATTGCTGCTAAACCTCATGGCCCATTAAGGGCTCACCACCCTACTTATCCCTTAAGGTCTAGGAGACTGGATAATGCAGAGTTATATCGACGGTTTTTTTTATTATAAAGTACTGCATGTATTTTGGGTTTATAATTGAACATCGAATTTCCAAGTTCACCCAAATAGCCTCACCTAGTGATCATAAAGCGCAAATTAAATGATCGCCTAGATTTTAGTAAACGTACCAAGTTTCAGTTTTTACCTAGGGCTATGCAATCTTGTACACAATTATGTTGGTCTGCCTTGAGGCCTATTGCCACCCAACCCATATGACGTTATAATTGGTTATCAGGTACTGAACTTGACGTTTTTCGTATTTACACATTTGGGTGTGCATTCCATGTGCCAAATTGTGCCACTGCAACGTACCAATATAGGTCTTCAAAGAAGGATGTGAATCTTTGTCGATTATGATTCTTCTTCACACTAGCTATCTTCGAGTCCTTGCATGCGATCTTTTTACCGCTCATTTGCAAGTTGTCACTTTAATGAGACAATCTTCCAGCCGTTAGGGGGAGATAAGAACGTCAACGTTCCTGTAAAATGACGCGAAGTTGCGTAGACGTTGTCCACTATGTCTCATCTCGATCCCCATACCACACAAGTATGATAAGCAAATGTGATGAATTCTAGCTTTCAAAATGTTGCTCCATACCCATTCCTCTGATTTAGCTAAAGTGACGAGATCATATACCAGCTGCAAACATGCCTGTAAGGATAGACGTATTTAACGGATGTCGAGTCAACATCCTTGGAGGGTGTGTCGTCCCTATTGGACGGTTTGGTACATTGACGGATAACCAATCAATCTGTCTTGGCCTGGAGCATGACATATCACGCGGTTCATATGATTCACTTCCCTAGAAGAGGAAGACACGACACAACAATGAATCAATACTTGATCGCTGTCTCAAATCATTTCCATCTCATGAGATTAATCCGAATTACTCCCGAGACTTGAAGTTCTTGGTCCAGTATACTAATTTGGATGAGCTAAATGAAATTGAAAAAAGATTACCATCGATGATATTTTCACTTATATGGTAGCTACCGACATAAATGAAAAGTGACGATATCGAACCGTGTTCCGTTGATTAAGTGACAACGTAGAACTGATTGGACAACCAAAATTAAAATCCAGGTCAAATTCCTTACCAAAGTGTGTATTGGACCTGTCATTCCTACACTGCCCAAGGTAACCCTGTTGCATTACAAATGGGAAAGGAAGCGTTATGAGATGAATGAAATAGTGCGATATGATGCACACCTTACGGTGCAAGGTTTCTCTCAAACGTCATGTGATTGACAGCAGTATTATGAAATGTGGTTAGTGTTTTCTCCATGGGGATATAGATACGGAGATTTACATGTAAGTTCCCGAAGAATTACATGGATTGGTTCAAATAGTTCCAAACCACGGAACATCCTTTTAACTTGTTTGAGGCGTTCACTTAAATCCGACGAATGTGGTATACTCGTCTAAGTGATTATTTGATTAGTTAAGGATATGAATTATGCCCTTACGTGTTAAACTAAGAAGTCTTATTCCAAATTGTTAGAGTTATAGTTTATGTCGTTGACATAAATCTCACTAAGACTCGGAAAGAGCTTGAGAAAATTGCTTCGTACCTGAAAATAGAATTTGAGATGAAGAATCTTAGGAAAACTCGTTTATGACTTGACCTAAAGTTGAAGCATTGTTCAAACAGTATTTTGGTCTACCAGTCGAACTACACCCTGAAGGTGTCACCTTTAAGTATACCTATGATCGTCCATACGTTATATACAAATGAGACCCTTGAAGATGTTATGGAATCTGAAATTCCATATCTGAGTTCAACTTTGCTCTTCGTTGTACTTAGCTCATTGTTTTAGACAAGATATCTCATTCGCTATTAAGATGCAGCACCGCGCCTACACGCAACCACTGAATTGGTATTAAAGACGTACCCTGAAGGTACTACAAATTTGGGCAAATCCCAACTCATCTCGAACGGATCCAACCCCTTGATCCTCAGAATGATGATTGCCTTGTTTGTTATGCTAACGCTGGTTACTTATCAAACCAGCACAAGGCAAAATCCCCGAATGGTTATGTCTTTACCGTTAGGAATATCGCATATCGCAATATCTTGGAGGTCCACGATATGACCTTAGTTGCAAAATCTTTGAATCGTTCCAAGAATCACCTCACTTCATTATGCCACAAATAAGACATGGTTATGAGTTCTTATCGAGCATATTCGAAGTACTTGATGTTTTCATCCATCGTTGAGTCCGAACAATGATTTATGAAGACTATGCCCCATGTATCTACCCGACCAAGACATGATACATCAACGAAGTCAAAACCAGGACATATTGCGTCTACATCTACATCAGCAAAGCATTAAGAGATTAAAGTCATGCAAGTCGATCTCAGACAACCTTGTTGACCTCTACACGACGTCACTACCGAAGTCAACCTTCCAAAAGCTTGTCCGAGGAATTGGTATGCCTAATTATCATATGCAATGCTTGTAGTTCTCATTTGGAAGTTTTGTCAAACTCAAGGGGAGTATCCAAAAGTATACTCACTTGATCTTAATGTACTATTCTTCCTACGATTATGAGCATTTTTTCCACTGAGTCATTGCTACCTAACAAGGTTTTAACGAGGCACCCATCTTGGGCTGATCATACCATTGTGAGCTCTTCTACTTGCGTCCAAAAGACGTATAGTTTTGACTTAATGCAACTTCTCACTTTTCTCCTTAGACTATAGGTTTTTCTCCCACCTTGGGGTTTTACCTTAGCGAGGTTTTGTGAGTTTTACTTTTTTATGCATTCTTCCATTGATCAGAGACTCACATTCGCTTATTATGCCGACGACTTCATCAACTTTACTTACTTCATCGCTAAAGACCTGATGTGCCATTTACTGGAGTATTTACACCCTCAAGGGGGGGGTGTTGCAACTCTATTAGATTAGGAATGTGATTGTGTAAATCCTAGTACATCTAGGAATATCTCTTATATTCCTATTATGAATTGATTACCTATTAAGAGTTGTAATCCTAAAGGGTAAGTAATTAACCTTCTCTACTACTATAAATAAATCACAATGAGGTGGAAAATAACACACCTCACAATTACACATCTCTACTCTTTCTCTCTCTACGCCGCATCTTCCCTCTCTCCATGACCTCCATAATTGTTTAGTAAATTATACCTATAACAGTAGCATATTATTTTATGTTATCAATAATATCGTTAAAACATTCATTACAGGATGGCCAAGAGATTCAATATTTTACAAGCAAATCCTCTCCCGAGAGCCAGATTGCACTAATATCATAAGATAATATATGGACCCAATAAGGTTTAATAGCAACTGGATTACAGGGAGCAAATGTCACCATGTTAAGGGACAGAAGCTCAATTTGGACAAAAGCAAAGCACTGCACGTAGGGTCATTCCTGCCATGACTCATGATCAGCACAACAACTATAATACATTCACAAGAGTTTTCTTTAATCTTATTCTGTGATCTTTAGCTAGTTTATGATTTTTTTTTCCTTTTCTGAAAAGCTAGTTGATTTAATTACCTATATATTTGCTAAAGTAGTTTGTGTGAATTTTTGGATTGTATATTTTTGTCCATATGGAGGCCTACTATATATAAATTAACTACAAGAGAATATTAAACTACAGAATTGTAGAAAACCCTAACTACGAAGGTCAACTAATCCCACAACAACTCACTAATGTTTTACCACTAAAGCTAGAAACTATATATTAATCTAGAAACTATGTATTTCTCTTTGCAATGTGAAGATGTCATTTTAAATTCTCTTTTATTTTCTGGTAGACGGTAAATGAAGACAGATGCCTCTTGATCATTGGTTATTGTGTAACCAATGCCACATCATCCTAAGTTGTTAGAATGTTTGGTAGGTGGTTAAATGAGTTGTTAGTTGGTTAATTAGTTACTTTGTGGTTATTGTTCAGTATATAATGTATTTCAACTTACAAATGTAATCAGTTGTCATTTTTACTAATTATTTTTTATTCAATTATGAATAATTACTTGTTCATTCATTTTTCCGTGCGTGCATGCCTGCATGGTATATTCTACGTAAGAGAGAGCTGAATACAATTCATTAGGAAATTTGATTATAATCCTTGGCAAAGATGACGTCTTCTATTTTTTTTTTTTTTTGGAAAAATACGTTATTCATTGCAAAGAAATAGAATGCGTACAAACTGATGATAGCGTGCATAATGGGCCCCGATAAAACCTTGCAGGGACTTTCAACCTGATCGAAGGGAAAATAGCGTCCCCCGCACAAACAAGAGAAATATCCCCAAATGACAAGACATAAAATCATAACCCTACAAACTTTCTTCAAATAAGATATCCCTGAGCAAGTCAGGGGGATTTTCACACCACCCAATTTGATGGGTACTACCCAACCCCAAACGTGCAAGCCTATGAGCAGCCGAATTATATCCTCGTTGCACCAAACTCACCTCTGAACCAGGAAAAGATTGGAGCATAAATCGCAAGTCATTTATTATATTTCCCAATGGAGAACGATCATCTTCCTTGCCCTTCATGGCAGCCATCACCAGATTGGAATCACCTTCAAAGCTTATCCTTTTACCATCTGGGCAATATGACTGGGCCAGCAATAATGCATGTTGAGCAGCACAAAGCTCTGCATGGAATGCCGAACCTGTCCACCCCAAAGGTCCCGCTACTGCAGCAACAAAATCACCCAAATGGTCACGTAGCACAGCTCTAAAACCTCCCCTTGAGCCTTGTTGTATCCACGCCCCATCAAAATTACACCTAACCCAATCAACCCCAGGTCTCTGCCACTTCTGTTGAACTTTCATGGATTTTTTTGTTCCTGACTTGTGCCACTTATGGTACTCTTGTAGCCAACCTTCCGTTCTAATCAACAAATCCTGCGGCATCAACTGCTTCCCATTCCAAATCCCATCATTCCTATTCTTCCATAGCATCCAAATAACCATCAACGATAATTCGATTACCAAAGGTGGAGAATGCCCAACAATATTTGATAACCAAGATGACTTTTAGACTAAAACCGTGAGTAAGATCAAAATCTAATTTTAGTCAATTGATATATTAATCACCTCATTTATTAATTATATTTGATGTTTAAATTATTTCTGCTTTACTTCCTAATTTTAATGTATTAATTATATTTCATTATAATTTTCATTTTCATTTCATTCATCGTAATATATTTTGTTGTAAACATTTAGATAAACTACTTTTTGTTATACAATATATTTTGATATACTTTGTCTTCTTCATTTAGGTACATTAAATTCTTTATAATACATTTTGGTGCATACATTTAGGTACACATATTTCGGTACATACATTTCCATACAAATATTGTGGCATCCCACATCGCCCAGGGGTGATCCTTATATGTATATTCCCATCCCTACCTAGCACGAGGCCTTTTGGGAGCTCATTGGCTTCGGGTTCCATGGGAACTCCGAAGTTAAGCGAGTAGCGCGCGAGAGCATTCCCAGGATGGGTGACCCATCGGGAAGTTCTCGTGTGAGTTCCCAAAAACAAAACCGTGAGGGCGTGGTGGGGGCCCAAAGCGGACAATATCGTGCTACGGTGGTGGAGCGGGCCCGGGAAGTGATCCGCCCCGGGCCGGGATGTGACAATTTGGTATCAGAGCCTAACCCTGGTCGCGTATCTGCCGACGAGGACGTCGGGCCCCTAAGGGGGGTGGATTGTGGCATCCCACATCGCCCAGGGGTGATCCTTATATGTATATTCTCATCCCTACCTAGCACGAGGCCTTTTGGGAGCTCACTGGCTTCGGGTTCCATGGGAACTCCGAAGTTAAGCGAGTAGCGCGCGAGAGCATTCCCAGGATGGGTGACCCATTGGGAAGTTCTCGTGTGAGTTCCCAAAAACAAAACCGTGAGGGCGTGGTGGGGGCCCAAAGCGGACAATATCGTGCTACGGTGGTGGAGCGGGCCCGGGAAGTGATCCGCCCCGGGCCGGGATGTGACAAATATGTAGGCACATTAATTCAATATAATACATTTTGGTACATATATTTCGGTACTAACATTTTAGTGCATACATTTCGGTACACATATTTAGGTACATTAATTTAACATGATACATTTTGATACTAACATTTAGGTACATTAATTCAATATATTACATTTCGGTACTAGGTACATTAATTGAGTTTTTCAAGTTTGAAGAATGTAATATAATTATATAAAATTAATAAGTTAAAAAATAAATTGGTCAAAAATAATTTTAAATGTGTATATTAATTGATTTAAATATTTAATGGGAGACAGTGAATAAAATACACATTAATTAATTTGAATTAAGAACACATCAAGGGACTATAATCAATATGTAATTTAACACCAAATTTTTATTAAATTTCAATCTTCTTCAAAGATTAAATTAAAAAAAAAAATACCTATATTCATTCTCCCATACACAGAAGAATCAAGATACATCCCAAATTTTAGGACTCTTTTGCCCAACCCCCAAAAGAAGACTCCATATATAGTCATATGTAAATGCGCCATTTGATTGATGAATCTCACAAACATTCTCGCGATGGGCATATGTTTAAATAAAGCTCTTCATTTTCTAGGCAACTTTTAGTGGCTGATAATATTAGGGTCACTCGATCTAGAGATATTAGTTATAGTTATTCTCCTTCAATTATTAGTTTTTTTTTTTTTTATTCGGAACCTTCAATTAATAGTTAAAGCTTGATTTGTTTCCCTTAATCATATTTTCGTATGTGTTAATACCATCGCTATTATTAAATAATATTGTCTTAGACCTTCATGTAACTAGTTTTTACTATAAATCTTCAAACTGTGAATCAAACTTTGTCTTAATCATAAATGTAATATCATCTTCAAAGAATATATATAGGTCAGTCTCATGGTCGTCGTTATTTTTTAATGTTTAGTCGCTAGTCTGTCTGACTAACCCTGTATATATTCATTGTTCTTGCATACTAATAATTCTTAATCTTAATTTGACCTAAAATAAAGAAAGGTAATTGGTCATTGCCGTCTCTAAACGGAGTGAAAATCCATCCAAAGAGAACCGTGCCCGCATGCATGCATAGTATAAAAAGATCGTGCAATCCAAGTCAATGCAATTTATGGTGGATTCTGCATATATAGAAACACTTACCGGCTTTTTTGTTATATTAAATAATAATCAACGAGTTGCGAATATTTTTATTTATTTAACCTCGTTGTCTTTTGCTTATGGTAAACAAATTTTAACAAAAAAGATAATACTACTTAATAGTCTTGATTAACTTACTAGTATTTGTTTCCTGCATTTAGTACTACGGTTTAATAGTATTCATCTTCACTTGTAAGTGAGAGATCTTACATTCAATTCTCGTCATAAGTGCATTCAAACCATATTATTATATCTAACCTTGTGTGAGACTTGGTATACTCTCCCACTTCTTTAATGTATATAACATCATTCGTTGAAAAAAAGAAAAGTAATTGTTTCCTCACGTACTAGGTTTTTAAATCACGTAGACAAACAAACGTGATCAATAATTTGTCGAAGCCACATGCGTGCACGTTAAGCTTAGTTGGTTTGATCTGAATGTGATAATTTTTTGCAGCCAATCAAATCAAGAAATGGTGTTATCCCCTTAGCTTATAAACTAGCTGGAACTGCCTCTTTTAGACATACTCGTACTCTTCAAGCAAATAATAGTCAAGAAAAGTCATGAGCAAAAACCTAATTATGTTAACTAGTTGATTTAGCTATCAATATTAGTTATTATTATTTTATTGTATACTTTCTATAGAAGATTTTTATTGATAAAATAAAGGAAGACTCAGTGGACTAATTATTAACCCTTGGACTAATATCATATACTTATCGAATTCAAAAGACAAAGGAAGACTTTGTGGGATCCATTCAAAAGATAATAGAAAACCATAAAGTATAACAACATTATTTTCTGATTTCATACTTTACCAACAACATTATTTTCTGATTTCATACTTTACCCTTTGCACCCACTTATATAAGCTCCACAAAGCTTGCTTTGGGCCTTTAATCCTTTGTTTTAAAAGAGAAAAGCTTATGCGTTAAGCAAAAACCTTTTTCAAAATACATTTTGTGAAAAAAAAAAAAAAAAAAAAAACTTTTTAAAATTGACTTTATTGATAATTGGCTGTTAAAACTGTCCAGTGACACTCTTGTACATTTTTACACTAATCTATACTAGGAGGAAAGAAAAGGGTTTGAATCCGAGATGTAGTGGATTGAAGAAGAAAACTTTTACCACTAGAGAAATTCATCACTTGCAATAATCTTGTACATTTCAAACTCTTGTAAGTTGAACATTTACCATTGTAAATGAAATAACTTACAATGAAATAAGAATTATATTACAAGTAAAAAAAGACAAACTAGGAGATATTATATTTTTTGAATCATCCAACACCTATGTATTGCGACAGTAAATAAAATAAATAGGTACACCGATATAATGATATTAACACAATGAATCATTTAACGTAAGATTAGTTGTAGAATAAGAACATTAATGTATATGTGTTACTTCCACCATCTAAATAATTATCATATATTGGACCCGGGTCTTATATTTTGTAACCTACTTCACACGACACATTCACATTGTCCATCGATGAAGACCAGTCTTTTGACTTTTTGGATTTCAAAACGACTTTTATTCTATCTTAATTAATCAACTTGTCTTTTTATAGTCGATTGTTTTGTGTCCTCGTGTTATCTTCCTTGTCCTCACATGTGCCATTTGCTTGTTTTAGAGAAAAATGAAGCAATATTTTATGAATTTTGATTCAATCGGAGTTTTGATTTCTAAACAAAAAATTTGTGAGTATTGATCCTAAAATTTATTATAATATAGAATAATAGTCATTTTCGTTAAGTCTGTTAGAATTTTTATTCAAAATAAAAGATTTAAAGAGGCAAAAAAATAGAGGAATATTCCAACCTAGATAACCAAAATAACTATTCCGCCATATTATTATAAGTTTAGACAACAATATTTACGAATATTTAGTTTAGGAATCAATCTCTAACTGAGCTAAAGTTGTGGAACAATATTTCTAGTTCTACATACTTTAGTTGGTGAAATCATAAATTATATGGGTTAAGTTTAGTATAGCTAAAGTATTAATATCGCTTGTAATAAAAAATAAAAAAAATAGTTCTGCTTGCTTTTAGTAGGTGAAATTAGAATACTGTTACAATTTGTATTTTTTTTATTGTAACTGACGTAATTTGAATTATATGGATGAAGTGTCGAACTAAGATGTGAAAAAAAAAGAACACACTACTCTTGCTAACTTGTTTAACTTGTTTACATACGTCTGGAAAAACATTCAACAACCTTTTTGGTGATACATCTCAAATTTTCATATTCAATCTACTCAACTCCTACTCTACATGCATTATGTATGACAAACTTATTATAAGCATAACTTACAGTTAAGCAACTTATACATATATTAGAACATGTAATCAAGTTATAAGTAAGAAATTTTAAATTTGATTTTTATATTTAGATTATTGATTTATCAATTCTCTTTTTGATTTCTCGATGAATATAGTTGCATGTATAAAATAAAAAATCGCTTAGAAGATGTGTCTACGATGATGCATATTACTCAAAGGCAAATGTTTATACAAAAATTAACTGCTATAAAAATTCATTAGATCCATATTCAAAATTTAATTGTTAGTTTTTGAATTTTTGCAAAATGAGCCCGAAGTTCTAATTTTGTAATTACACAACATGATTTTTTTTATTGTACCAATTTGATTTTTACGTTACCTTTATTGTCTACTTAAACGTTAAGTGTTAATAGACTTGACTAACATTTTAAGTACCCGTTGTTCGCCAGTTTCAATATTTAGTACTTTGCATTTTACTATTTTAACCTTTATATGAAATTGATAGTCAACGGTATAGTCCATTATATAGCACATCAGCAATTAACGTTTAATTAGATGATGAAACTGATGGAAATGTAGATTGGTGCAATATAGAAATCACATGGGATAGAAAGCAGAAAACCATTTAATACTCCGGTCTAGTGATATTCCTCTTCACTTGTAAGTGAAAGGTCTTAGACTCGATTCTTACCAAAAACGAATTTGAATCATATTATTGCTAGTCCATTATGAGATTAACAGCATCCTCTTTTCTTTAATATAGATAATATTACTTGTTCAACAAAACCAAAATGCAAAAATTAAAATCTCCTAGTTGATTTTATCAACGACTCTAAAATCTTGTGTTCACCTCAAATTTTTGGGAAAGAGATCAAGCCACGTGTACTCCTTTTAATCCGACGTGTAAAAGCACACAACTCGTTTCACCGCGGTAAGCCCAAATATAATTAATGAGCAGTATTGCACACGGTGCGGCCTAGAAAACAAACAAACGTGTCGAGATCAGAAGGGGGTGAAAACACCAATCACGACAAAAGTTATTTGACTTTTGTAAAATTAAAGGAGCGGTCGTCGGCCAAAACGCATCCAAATACTCAACTAAACGACAAAGCAATATCGTATCCCTCGGTCGACAGCGTGCCTAAGAACACCCGACTCCCGACACGTGGACCGGATTAACCTCCGTGTCTGTAATCAGAAACTTGAACAGCAAGTCATGGCCTACTCAGATCAATCCGCTGCTTTCCACTGATTAAACTCGATTAAATATCTAATTTTTTATTATCACTTTCTCAGCATCTCCCAGTCTTCTGAAAAGTGAGTGAGAAAAGCGGCAGAGCAAAGACTTTGCCTTAAACTCTCTCTCTCTCTCTCTCTCTAGAATCTCGATTCACAATCTCACTCTGTTCTTCAGCAGTCTTATTAAACCCTGCAATTATTTTCCTGTTCTGGTTTCTATTTAGCTGAAATCTCAATAGGGTTTTCTCAGAGGGTAGTCAATCAGCTCAGAAACACCCAAAAACCAGCTGAAATTTTGGGTTTTGGTCAAATATTCAGACCAGGATTTGGATCAAATTTTGACTCTTGTAAAATTCGGGTTTCTTTTCCTCCTCCTTGCAGATAAATCTGAGAGCTGAGAGAGAAGCTTTTATTTTACAGGCTGGGGTTCTTAAATGATTGTGTTTTCGGGGGCAGTGTAAGCTTTGGTCAGAGACCCATCAGGACAGAGCTGGTAGGTGGGCATAGAAAAACAAAAGAGAGGACCTTGACTGGTAGATGAGAGAGAGAGAGAGAGAGAGAGAGAGAGAGATGTAATCAAAACCCTAGAAAATGAAAAATTTGTACCTACAAACACTTCCTTAGAGTTTTAAGATTAAAACCCAAGTGGTAGAGTTTTGGTTTTTGTCCTGCAGATTGGAAGTTCAAAAAAATAAAAGAGGAGAAAATCAAAATCTCAGCTCTGATGCCGACCGACCTAGATAATTCCTCTACAGCTTCAGGTGAAGCTAGCGTTTCTTCCTCCGGCAACCAAACCGCTCCTCCCAAACCCGCCACCAAGAAAAAAAGAAACTTGCCAGGAATGCCAGGTAGCTCAAATTTTAACAATCCCATTTTTCTTCTTCTGATTTTTCATGTTTTGTATGGATTAGTGATTGGATTTCTGGGTTAATTTGACTTCTGGGCTTTGTTGCAGATCCAGATGCGGAGGTGATTGCTCTATCGCCGAAGACCCTTATGGCGACGAACCGATTTGTCTGCGAAATTTGCAGCAAAGGGTTTCAGAGGGATCAGAATCTGCAGCTTCATCGGCGCGGCCATAATCTGCCATGGAAGCTGCGGCAGAGGTCGAGCAAAGAAGTGAAGAAGCGAGTCTACGTCTGCCCGGAGGCTTCTTGTGTGCACCACGATCCGTCCAGAGCTTTGGGTGATCTCACTGGGATTAAAAAGCACTTTTGCAGAAAGCACGGTGAGAAGAAGTGGAAATGCGATAAGTGCTCCAAGAAGTATGCGGTTCAGTCGGATTGGAAAGCCCATTCGAAAATTTGTGGCACCAGAGAGTACAAATGCGATTGTGGGACTTTGTTCTCAAGGTTTGATAATTAATGAAACTTCGATTTTGTCTTTAGGATTTTATGTTTTTTTTTAGATTAATTTGTTGGGTTTTTTTGATTGGATTGGTAAAGTTTTTGGTTTTTGTTGTTTGAAGGAGGGATAGCTTCATAACTCACAGGGCCTTCTGTGATGCTTTGGCAGAAGAGAGCGCCAAAGCTCATACCCCCACCGCCGCCGCCGCCGCCACAGCAGTGAATTTGAATTCAGAATCAGACCCAAAAACCCAATCTGCTAATTCACCTCCACAAGCACCGCCGCCGCCGCCGCCGCCGCCGCAGGCAGCAGCTCCATCCCAGCCTACAACTTCATCAGTTCCATCTATGTCAGCCGGTGTGCTATCTTCATCCCTGCCTACACAAAGCACAGGTAAAACATGTCCAAAATTGGCAAATTTTCAATCTTTTCTGTTGGGTTTTGTCGGAAGTGTTTTTAGTCCAAAACAAACAACAAAATCTGTGTTGTGTTTATTGTTGTTGTTTTATTATGGTGTGTCTCTTGCTATGGATCTTGGAGTTTAGTAATTTTTGTCTGTTACGAAATTTGTTTTCAGCAGGGTATGTAATCACTCACGGTATGACAGTATTGGTAACTTGATCAAAGATTTGAGGGAATTTAACAAATTAATTAAAAATTAAGGTTCCTGGAGATTTGTATTAAACTTTTAGTGATTCAAAAGCTAAAAGGGGGAAGAGTAAAACCTGGATTGGTACTGAGGTAATTCTGAAAGAAGTTGGTATCAAAAAAAGTTGGGAGCTGTTTTTGTATTTGGTAAACATTCAGCTTCAGCTTTTTTTTCACAGTTTTAGGTGAAAAAAAACCAAAAACAAGCAGCTGCAAAAGTTTAATACAAATCGGTTTTGGGTGAAAAATCGGGTTTTTTTTTTACATTTGTTTTACATAAATGTTTACCAAATATTATAATACTACTTTTTTTTTTTCAAAAGCACTTTTAAAAAAAAAAAGTTTACCACTGCTTTATTTCACAGAAGCAGTTTTTTTTTGAAATCACATCAATACAAGCCCTAAGTGGGATTAGAGAAAGGACACCATTATTGATCCTCCTTTTCCTTCAAAAGTTATTTCATAAAGAAAGGTCTTAACTTTATGTTCCTGCATTTTTAAGTGACCCCTTTAATTTACATCCTTTTCTCCTTTTGTTGTTGTAGTGAGAGAGTTGCCGGAAAATCCCACACAAGTTGTAGAAGAAGTGCAGGTTGTGGTGGGTCGAAAGGGTAATTGTAGCAGCAGCAGCAGCAGCTCCAGCAGCAATGGCAGTACAAGCAGTGGTGTGTTTGCAAGTTTATTTACTTCCTCAACAACATCGGCCAGCTTGCAACCTCCTCAACAGCCTGCATTTACTGACTTAATACGAGCCATGGGGCATCCGGATCAATCTAACGACCTAGCCCCATCTTCTTCAATGGAGCCTATTTCTCTTGGCCTCTCAACCAGCCATGGATCCTCAATTTTCGAGTCTGCAGGGCATGAGCGTAGGCAGTATGCGCCTCCGCCGCAACCAGCTATGTCTGCAACAGCTCTGCTTCAGAAAGCTGCTCAAATGGGCCCAGCAGAAACCAATGCATCGTTACTTCGTGGGTTTGGCATTATGTCATCCGCATCATCTTCCGTGCAACAAGAGACCATGCAATGGAATCAAAGGCCGGCAGAACCAGATAATGCCCCAGTTGCTGCAGGGCTTGGACTTGGTCTCCCTTGTGATGGAGGTTCGGGATGGAAGGAATTAATGATGGAAAGTCCTTCAATGTTCGGTCCCAAGCAAACCACACTTGATCTTTTGGGATTGGGAATGGCCGCCGGTAATAACCCCAGTAGCGGCCTATCGGCCCTAATTACATCAATCGGTGGCGGTCTAGATGTAGCAGCCGCAGCTGCATCCTATGGAGGTGGAGAATATAGCGGTAAGGACTTGGCTAGAAGCTCATGAAACATGAGAGTCATTTTCTTTCATTTGACTCGAGGAAGGGGCGTACAAGGTGCAGGTTGATTTCTTATGAGGAAAATTGATGATGTTGCAGAATGAAGTAAGACATACATAACTAAATAAAAGATTAGCCATCATAAGCATGGAGGTAAGCATTCTTTTTTAATGTTCTCCTGCCTCGGTGACTATGGCGAAACGGCCTTGTCTTTCTGCTGTAGACTTTGTCGAAAGCTAAATCTGGAGATCGTTTCGTGTTTCGTCCCTCTATTGTTTAACTTGGGGGTTTTAGCATAGGCTTCCATGTATGTATGTCACTTTCTGTTAGCTTAAGGTGGATTTGGTGAATGAATATGTGTTACCTACTGCAATTCTTTAATTTTGTCAAGTTTCTCAAGCAAAGCCTGGCGATGAAAGGCTCGGTGGATGGATTTTACCAATTTGGGTTTACAGTACTATGCCAGGTAAGGGTAGATGGATTGGGGGTTTGGGGTTGATCTTGTAAATTACTGTGTGATTAGCCTGTAGTTTTAGGGCTCCTAGACTTGCTCAAACTTCCAATTTCCATCACTTTGTACGTACAATTAAATTAAGATTAAGCTTTTTGTTTTCTTTTATATATAATGAATTTCATGGTACGTGATGTTACGCTAACAGTGTCATCGTGTTCTGTAAGTTCTTTGTTAGTGCATGGCGTGATGAGATTTGGGTTTTTTCAATTTTATAAATTACAAGAAATTTGTGCCAGTGTGCAGTTTTCCATAATTGTACGAACGCTTCTAACATTGGTCCCCAAAGATACAAATTGAATGGGGTCTTTAAATATCTTGAAAATGGTCCTGTGTTGTGCAGTGCATAAATTAGGATCTTTATCTTTTTTTTTTTTAAACAAATTAGGATCTTTATCTAATGTCACATCAAATTCAGGTTAAATTCTTGGGTGTAATCGGACAAATATCTTCTCCTCTATCTCGAGATCTTCTACTGTACTCTCGTCGGACATTCGGATCCGTAATTTATCCTCTATTTGTAAATTTACTGTTAAAGATAACGTTCATATGTAACTATTGCGAGATGCTTTTTATTTTTTAGACCAAGTTAAAAGCTCCGATGAAATCTTATTTACACGTACTTACACTTTATATGTATGTGTGTGTCTTCTAATCCTTTGAATGCGAAATAATTTAGAGAACTTTCATGAAAAGAGTTTGGATTAAGTTTATTTTAATAAAAAATCATGCTATAACTTTATTTAATTAAAAAAACTTAAATTTTAATAAAAAGGATAAAAGATTTAAATTTTAATAAAAATGACAAAAGAACTTAAATTTTAACGAAAAAAACATAATTTTAATGAAAAGGACAAAAAAATCTGATGCGTGGACCCACGATACACTGTTTATAAAACTTACTACACTGTTTATGAAACTTACTACACTATTTATGAAACTTACAACACTGTTTATGAAAACTTACTAAAATGAAACTCTGAAGGGTCCTCTCTTTCTGCACATAAATCCTTCTCCCCCATATTATTCTCCTTCTTTGAACCAGACTGCTCAACACTGACTTTGCTTGTCAAACTTGTAGCTCCACCATTGGCATTACGTCCCACAACTAACTGTCTCTCTTCACCATTGCCTATTTGCAGAGACCCATCAACTCCCGAGTTTAGCGAATTTGCATTACCATGTACACTACTATCGTTTTGGTTAATTGAATTACCAGAAACTTCAAAATGTTCATTACTTCCATCTAGTCCAACCTTTGCCTATCTTCCCATCTCCCCCACACAATGACTAGCTTCTTCACTCCTCCACTGTCTCCACCCTTTGATATCATCAAAATTCACATCCACTCCACTACTTCCCACAAACCTAAAGCTCTCACTCTCATCCACATGATCAAAGTAATCCTAGGAAGAATCTTCATCCAGCAGAGGAGGCGGCGGCAGTGGAATATCCTCATCCATGTAACTACTGCTAACCGGATTGAACCTTACAGTCACAGCAGCAGCACCTCCTGACCTCATATAACTCAACCTTGCCACATGAGGCGAAGCATGCCTCTCGTGAAACAGAGGCGAGTCCAAAGAGTTGACCAAAGGTGACGGCGACAGCGAGGGGTAGGAAAAAAAAACAAAATCTATTAAACAAAAAGATGGGAGAAAAATGGAGTGCTTGAAGTTTTGGGGGGTATGCGTCCCCAGCAGAAGTTGGAAGTGTTAGGTTTATTATTTATTTAAATTTGTCTTTTGTCCTTATTATTAAATAAAGTTAGTGGGTGGTTTTTTATTAAAATGTAAAGATTTGAAGCCATTTTCATTAGTTTTCCTAATAATTTATTGCAGTCAGAGGATAGTGTTCGAGTCATAATTGTTGCAACAATGACCTGCCTGGACCCCAAAGGGTTCAATGCAAACCTTGCACTTGCCGGACGGTAAAAAAAAATGCTACCTATAAATTTTGATAAAACTAAAGCTCAGGCCGGTAAACTTGAAATCGATAGAAACCTTCACGCGCATGTGTAACTTATGTCAAAGTGAAGTGAATATTAAGGGTACAAGTCAGCAATACAGTTAGAAATACAGTTAGCAATATAGTTAGCAAGTTTGTTAGTATTTGGTTAGAGTTGTTAGGTTTTCTAGTATAAAAACAGTGTTGTATAATCTTTCTCTTTAGTTAATACAAGTCTCATATTTCTCTCTCTAAACTCTCTCTACACCATCTTTCATCTCCATTTTCTCTTTGATTCTCAAATTTTTCAATGTAGTTAACATGGTATCAGAGCAGGTTGTTCCACGTGTGAAGCCAAACGGCCACATGCGCTCCATGTCACCCTATTGTGTTGTTCACGTGTTAGGCTTGAAAATGCGCCACACGTGAGGGGGCGTTTTGAGAACGAGTCCCACATTGATATGAGGAAGAACCTTGCATGAGCTTATAAGAGGTTGGGCTACTCCTTATATTGCCAATTGGTTATGATGATATCATTAGTCATTTCAGTTGATATGTTGAGAATTAAGAGCATAGAGCCATCTTTCTTTTGCCTTGAAGCAGTCTGCATTTGAAGGTTTACATGGAGCGTTGGTCACATCCTGAAATGCACACATTGCATTGTTGGGCTAAAGATTAACTTGAAGAAATGAATCTCTCTCTTTAATGGGTTTGATTTTTCTGTGAATCTTTACATGTTTGGAGAAATGGGTGTGAATTTTCGAGTTTTGGCATATACTAGTTTATGGTTATTCAGATTATGGTATGTGCTAAAATGAGAAGTGTAACGTCTGATAAGAGTGTGCAAGAGCTAACTGAGGAGTTTGTGTAGTATATTTCCTTATCATAGCCTATAATGTTAAGTCTAACCAGCTTAGTTGTTGGCATGTATCTACTGTAAGTCCGGTTATAAGTGTCTTAGAAAAATATGAAGTTTGAAGATGTTGTCAACGGTAAATCACACGAAAGGTAATCCTGTGCTGTGAGTAGGTAAATCCCACGAAGGGTAATCCTACATAAATGTTGATTTTTTGTTGTTAAAATTGTGAAGGTCGATGCCATTGTTAAAAGTAGTTATTTTTGGTAAAATCCATAAAGGGCGATCTCGTGGTACTATAGTTAAGGCCGATGCCACACTATAATTTGCTAATTTTCTGTTTTGAAGGTCGAAGCCAATGTTGAATGAGATTGTTGACGGTAAATCCCACGTAGGGTAATCTTGTAAGAAGTTGTTATACCGACATAAGGGTGTGCTACGACTACTTTATAGTATGAAGCTCCTATTAGAGGCAGAGGAAGGGTGTCATGATTTCGGTACATTGTTTGGAGTCAGAACTATGCAAAATTTGGTAAGATCAACAAGAGACAGAGGTTTTGGAAAATATTCAAAATTTGATTGATGTTGGCACGGGTGATATTTTCATATGCACTATAACTCACATGGGAATGGTTTTCATATGGAACAAGGTGATATACATGAAGATATTATGACATGGAATGAATCTGAGGTGGATGAAGAGGGATTGCAAAATTGCAGATGGTTTAACTCTGTTATGTTTTCTGGTTTCATAATAGTGATTGCAGATGTTCTTCTAATCTCAAACTGGTTTTCCCCATTTGAGTTTGAAGGGGAGTATTAAGGGTACAAGTCAGCAATACAGTTAGAAATACAATTACCAATATAGTTAGCAAGTTTGTTAGTATTTGGTTAGAGTTGTTAGGTTTTCTAGTATAAATAGAGTTGTGTACGCTTTCTCTTTAGTTAATACAAGTCTCATATTTCTCTCTCTAGACTCTCTTTCTCTCTCTAATTTCTCTCTAGTTCATCTTTCTCAATTACTCTTTCTTCTCCATTTTCTATTCGATTCTCAAATATTTCAATGTAGTTAACAATGAATATGTACCATACAGGATTCTAGTTGCAAACGATGGATGTTAGGTGATGTGCGTATCGATCAATGTAGTGCTAGTTATAACTTATGCATCGTCACTAAGAACTTTATGAACAACTTTCACAAGAACTTTTTTTATTTGGTCGAAACGTTCACACTAATGAATGGGTTCCTTTGATCCTTTTGCGGCCAATACCTTGTTTCTGAACTGCATGCCATGACATATTTGTTAAGATCATAACTCTCATGAAACTTTGAAGCAGATATCAGTAGCAAAAACCTCACTCCAAATACGGCTAAGTGGCTTCGTACCAATGGCACTAGTTGGAAAACACGAAATTGGACTGACATCTTCCAACAACTTAGGGGATATGTTGGACCATGTAGCCAAACTCATGGAAAAGATTCACAACTTGGGAGAATCTAAGTAGTGTAGGTTTACTGCTGGCATCATTTTGGAATTGCGATTTAAGTAACGCCACAGGAATCTATCGTCATCCATTCTTCATTGATAATGCACCATTTTGAAGAGCCACCACAGAGGTATGATGATTATATTTTCTTTCCCTTTTGTACATATCAAGGTAGAAACGACCTAAAAGTTCATTGAAACTTGAGTAAGTGCAAACATTAGAATGCCAAACCTTAGCATCTTCAATTTCCTTAAATCTTAAACCAAAAAGGTCTTATATTATCTTGAATACCCCATATATAACCAAATTTACTACAAAGTATTGTTTCTGAGCTCCGAGGTCCACATTCAACTGTTGTGTTTTAGCCTTGCTGACATAGTATACCAGATCCTCAATTCTAAACGGATGGTCTCTTTCCTCTTTCCTCTTCAAATCTTTCAACATGGAAAGTGTAAGACATATTTTGAAATCACAACAACAAGACATTAGGATCACGAATAAATCAAATCAATATAAAATGGAGATTGACTAATTATATTAAACTTATCTGTAGAATACAGAAGACATAGTTATGAAGATAAAGTCATTGATCATTGCGAACAAAGTGAACAAAGTAGAAGTAGTCTTCTACTTCTAATACCTCTCAATGAACTCTACTATTGAAATAGGTTTGTAGTTTTCGTGAGTTTCAGTTGGTATAGAAACAGGGACTGCTCCTTGGTTTTATATATAGGGTTTTCAACCAATTCCTTCCTATTATCGGAAAAAATATCAACCCAAATCATGTCAAATCAATTAGAGTCCCATCATGACTCTC